GTATCTGTCTTATATCTTTATATATATATTTTCTCATATTATACCTGTATATAGATCTTTATCTCTATCTATGTATACTGTATTGTATCTCTATTTATCTCTATATTTTCTATCTGTATATGTCAGCTCTTTATTTTCTATCTATCGATATATATCTATTATTATCTATCTATCTATATCTAATCTATATCTATATCTGTGTAATCTGTCCTATATAGTCTATATAGATATATCTATATATATATGGCTCTTATCTGTCTCCATATCTATATATACTATATATTCTCTCTCTATCTATATCTTATATATCTATAATAGCCCTATAATCACTCTATATCAATCTATCTACCTATACCTATACATATATATATAATATATAACTCTCCTATATATCTCTATATTACGCTCTTTTATCTATCAAATATATATATATATCTATATCTTTATAGATATCTTTCTATCTATATTTATACTATATCTATTATTCATCTCTCTCTACTATATCTATCTAGTCTCTCTCATACCTCTCATCCTCTCCATCTATCTCTCTCTCTCTCTCTCTATACATATAGTCTCCTATCCCTTATACATATCTCATATAATCTCTATATATTATATATCTATCTCTCTCTCGATATCTATATCGATATTATAGTCCTATGTCTTCTCTCTCTATATTTTATCTACGATACTATGTATACTTATATGTTGTATCTTTCCATATATCTATATATCTATATATATCTCGATATCTCTATCTATCTAGCTCTATTATGTTTATGTCTATATGTTTCTGTATATCACTTTTCTATATCTATTTCTTATATATATCTATCATCTCGTATATCTATATTCTCTCTCCTGTCTTCTCTGTCTATGTATCTCTCTTTACCTGTATATGTCATCTCTATATATATATTCTCTGTATATGTCTCTATCTTTCTCTATAATCTGTATCTGTATATCTCTTTCTCTCTATCTCTATGTATATGTATATCATACTTTAATTATATTCTAGGTATCTGTCATATATCTTTATATATCATCTATATTCTATTACTATATCTTTATTATATATATATGATCTGTCTCTATCTTTCTCTATATAGCATGTAATGTATATCGCTTGATATCTAATATATCTGTATAGTCTCTCTCTTTCTATCTATCTATCTGTCTAATCGATCTACTCTTTCTATATATCTGTCTAGTTATAGATATATATATCTCTCTCTCTATCTCTCTATATCTATATATCTATTCTATAGCTATATCTATGATGTCTAATATCTCTCCAATATATATATATTTATTTAGTTTATTTTCCTTCCGTTATACAACACATATATGTGTTGTATATATATATCCTATATTATATATTAATAATAGAATATATTTCTATATATCTCTCTCTCTATTCCATGTATCTGATCTGTCAAAATATCATTTTCTATATCTCTATCCATGCTATGTCTCTGTCATCTCTCTTTCTATATATTATCTCCCGGTCTATTATATTGTTCGATCTATTTCTATATCTCGCTATCGTCCTGTCTCTGTATAGATATCTGTTTTCTATCTCTCTCTCCTGTCTCTGTCCTCTGTCTCTGTTCTCTCTCGCTTTTCGATATCTCTGTCTCGGTCTCTGTCTCTCCTTTACTTATCCATCTCTATATCTCTCTCTTTCTCTATTTCTTCCCCTCTCTATGTCTCGATTCTTTCCCTATCTCTCTGTCTCTGTCTCTGTCTCTCTCTCTTTCTTTCTCTCTCTCTGTACTGGTATCGTCGCTCTATCTTTCTCTATATCTCTCTCTGGTTCTCTTCGCTGTCTCTCATCTGTTTCTCTCTGTCTCTGTAGATGTCTCTTTCTCTGTTTCCCCCCCTCCTCTTTCTCTATCTCTGTGTGATGTTTGGTGTGTGTGTGTGTGTCTCTCTCTCTCCTCTCTCGCTCTCTCGCTATCTCTCTCTCTCTCTCTATCTCTAATATCCTCTGCTATCTCTCTGTCTTTCTCTTCTCTTATCTGTCTCTCTTCTTGTATCTGTCTATTCTCTCTCTTCTCTCTCTCTCTCTCTCTCTCTCTCTCTCTCTCTCTCTTCTCCTCTCCCCCCCCCTCTCTACTCCTCGTCTCTCTCTCCTCCTCTCGCTCTCTCTCTCTCTCCTCTCTCTCCCCCTCTCTCTCCCTTCTCTTCTTCTTCCTCTCTCTCTCTATCTCTCTCTATGTGTCTCTCTATCTCTATCTTCGCTCATCTCTCTCTCTCTATCCTCTCTCTCTCTATCTCTGTGTCTCTCTCTCTCTCTATCTCTCTATCTCTCTACTCGCTCTCGCTCTCTCTCTCTCTACTGTTTGTGTCTCTTCTCTCTCTCTATCTCTCTCTCTCCTCTCTCTCTCTTCTCTCTTTGTCTCTCTCTCTCTCTACTGTCTCTCTCTCTGTCTCTATCTCTCTGTCTCTCTCTCTGTTCTCTTCTATCTGTCCCTGTCTCTCTGTCTATGTCTCTTTCTCTGTCTCTGTATCTCTCTCTCCTGTCTCTCCCTGTGTCTCTCTCCTGTGTCTCTTCTATCTCTGTGTCTCCTCTCTGATCTCTCTCTCTTCTTCTCTCTCTCTGATCTCCTCCTCTGTCTTCTCTCTGTCTCTGTCTGTCTCCTGTCTCTGTCATCTCCCTCTCTCTCATGTATCGCTATCTGTTTCTCTCGGTCTCTGTCTCCTCTCCCTCTGTCCTCTCTCTCTCTGTCTCTCTACTCTCTGTCTCTCTCTCTTCCTATGTCTCTCTCTCTTCTGTCTCTCTCCTCTCTGTATCTCTCTCTCTCTGTCCCTCCTCTCTCTATTCTCTCTCTATGGTCTCTCTCTCTCTGTCTCTCTCTCTCCAATCTCTCATCTCTGTCTCGCTCTCTCTTCTCTCTCTCCCCTCTTCTCTCTCTCTGTCTCTCTCTCTCTCTGTATATCTGTCCTCTGTCTCTCTGTCTCTTCTCTCTGTCTGTCTCTCTCTTCTCCTGCTCTGTCTATGTCCTTATGTCCTGTCTCTTCCTGTCGCTGTCTCTCTGTCTCTCCTCTCTCTCTCCTTCTCCTCTGCATCTCTGTCTCTGTTCTCTCTGTTCTGTTCTCTCTATGTCTCCTGTCGCTTGCTGTCTGTTTCTCTCGCTGTATGGGCTCTCCGCGTCTGTTCTCTCTCTCTCTGTGTGTCTCTATCTGTCTTGTCTCTCTATGTCTGTGTTCTCTCTGTCTGTCTTCTCTCTCCTGTCTTCTTCGATCATCGGTCTCTCTATCCTCTCTAGTCTCTCTATCTCTGTCTCTCTATTCTACTACTATGTCTCTCTATATCTCTCTACTCCTCTCTCATCTCTCTATCTCTCTCTCTATCTGTGTCTATCTCTATCTCTCTCTCGCTCTCTGTCTCTCGCTCTCTATGTCTCTCTCTCGTCTCTATCTCTGTCTCTCTAGTCTCTCCTCCTCTGTCTCATCTCTCTCCTCCGTATATCGGTCTCTCTCATGTTCTATCTCTCTCTCTCTCCCATCTCTCTCTATCTCTCTCTCTATCTCTTCTCTCTCTCGGCTCTCATATCTCCACCTGCCTTCTCCTTTCCTGTCCTTCTTCTTCTTCCCTCCCTTTGTTTTCATGGTTTTCCGTCCCTTGCCTACTTTGTTGCTGCTTCGATTATTGCCTGTTGCCGCCTTGCCCTCTTCTTCCTTCTTCTCTTCCTCCCGCTGTTGTCCGGTCTTTGCCCACCTAGTTGTCTTACCACTAGTGTTCTTACTGATTTTGGCATGTTTAGCTCCCTCTTGAGGCTGTCCTCCTGCATCTCCGACATCCCGTCCTTTAGATGCTTTTTCCACTGGATACATCTTTGCACTTCACTGGTCGGGGTTGCGTCTAGAAGTTTCTCCAATCGAGGACGTGGACGCTTGCACCTTCCGTATCGGATGCTACTGGCATCCACTATGTTTAGCGAATTTTGTTACAGCTTGGAGTGGTGGGGTTATCTAGAAAGTTTTAAATGCTTTTACGTGCCATGGTCTGAGGCAGGCCGTAGCAGTCGTCTGCACTGTTTACATAGATGATGCACAGATTCAGGTGTATAATCCGTTATGTGGCCGGCATTGGGCGGGGGGAACGAAAAGGAAAGAAGAGTAGAAAGGCAGAGGCTGGTGCTGGGGCCACGGGAGGGGTTGAATACAGTGGCAACGGATAATTTTTGACGAGAAGAGCAAAGATGCCCGGTAGTACGGAACGCCGGGGTGGGTGTGCAAGGAAAAGTGGTGCGACGGGAATAGAAACTGGAGGGCCTGTGCATTATTAATCACGTTGACGTCTGGATTTATAATGCGGTGGGATGAGGCATGGAAGGAATAGCTGTAGTATCGCAATGGGGAGAAATTAAATTGGGGGTTTATTTAGACACACCGTAAAGTGGTGGGTGGGGTTTTTATGATAATGATGATTATGGTGATGGTTGTCATTACTAGGACAGTTATATGTGATAGAATGCCTTATTATTAGTATTTATTTCAGATTTTAGGATTATAATTGCGCTGGTATTGAAAATTGCATTGATTATAGAACATGCATTAAAGCAGGGTGTACTTGCAAGTTTTTTTGTGTAACTGTTTTGTATAATTCTGTGTTGGGATGGAAAAATTTATCAGTAAGTCCAGTATTTTTTGTTTGTTTGATTTTTTGTTAATTTTTTTTTATTTTAGTTGATGAGCAGAGAACATCGGACATACCAGGTTGTTGATGCATGCTCTTGTAATGTATGCTAAAAGACTTTATAAGAAATATGTCTGATGATCCATAATAGAAAAAAAAAAATAAGTATAAAAATAAATAATATTGTTTGTTTCTTCTGAGTATTGAATTTGACTCTCTTGTGTTATTTAGTTTTGGTCAATTTTTTTGTGCATGGTATTAAGTGTTATGTTATTTAAAAAAAAAAAAAGTAAGGTGAGAAGGTGACTTGGAAATAATACCTGAGACTAATTGCAATGTATGTTACCTCCCCCAGGCCATACCGAGAGGCGATTGTGTCCCTCGTGTCCCTGATGTTGGACACGGGACTCCCTTGCTTCCGAGGGCAGACCATCAGACAGCTCCGCACGCGCTTTACCCCACTTGCCACAGAGAAGGAGGCAGCAGAATATATGCTTAGCATCATCCAGCACTCCTGCTTGAACTGGAGGACGAGGGCTTACGACAGGCTCCAGTATCACCAGAATCAAATTCCCTACTAGATTTTTTTTCTTTTTCTTTTTCTTTTTCTTTTCTTTTCTTTTCTTTCTTTTTCATTTATTACTTTTCCTCTGCTTTTCCATTTCCTTTCCTGTTCCTGTTCCTCCTCTTGTTCCCTCTCCTCCTCCTCCTGTTCCTTCTCCTCCTCCTCCTCCTCCTCCTGTTCCTCCTCTGTAATGACACAAACTGTGTATACCTACACATTTTTTTCCTGAATGGGTCAGCGGTATTGATAGTATGTAGATGGCTTCTCAGTGACTTTTAGATTAATGGGGTGAAATTGTTATAAAGAAATGTGATAATTTTAGTAATTTAATCTAGCTGAGTGATATATTTATTTTCTTCTTCTCGCGTGTCTGTATGATGGTTTTAGTAAATTCTTAAATTACAGGCCTAATATTAGGCTCACCATTCCATTCTATTTTTGCGTACAAGACTTTTTCTGTTATCACTTTTAACCAACAGTTCAATTGTATATATCATAATGAATTAATAAGTGCTGTTGTTGTTGTTAAATCAGATATTATTATAATAGATAGTAATTTTACTAGTGCTGGTGTTAATGAGAAGTTTATTTTTCCTGGAGTAATGTCACAAGATATTTAATTTTTACTATTAAGATATGACCAGTATTTGTTAGGGAAGATGATGATTGTAATAATTGTTATGATTATTATTTTGTAACTAATGATTGTTATTATTATTACTATTATGATTTGATTATTGTTATTATTATTATTATTATTATTATTATTATTATTAATGTTATTACTATTACTGTTACCATTACTTTCACTATTTCTATTATTATTTTACTTTTTATATCTGTTATCATTCTCTCTTAACCAAAGGCCTCATCATATTAATTATATTATTATAATAATAATTACTATTATTATGATAATGATTATCAATATTATGATATTTATCTAAAGTAACGTAACAAAAGGCAACATGAAAATTATTATTATTATCAAGAATTTTACTTCATGTTAGAATTTTATCTTTTTGTATTTGGAAAGACTTCTGTTTATATATTATGAGAAGAAAGGAATGTGAATATGTTATTCCAAATCGTTGAAAATCTACATTGTGTAGAGATATGTATGATTCATTAGATTTGTTTGTTGTTTTTCTTGGTCAGATAACAAGATGGACCAATTTGCGTTACATGGTTGATGGAAGTGTAATGTTGGTAACACTTCCTAGTCTTTTATTTAAAAGTTCAAAAAGAGCACATAAACAACTAGTAATTTTAAGTGAATTTAAAATTGTTGAAGGTACACTTCCAAAACACATATCCTTGCCTTTAAAACTGCCTTTTACATTTGTTGAAGAGTATGCACCAGTTTTTTCAGATCCACCTGTTTGGCTATACATATGCATCAGGGATCAGTGACTTGTTCATTATGATTATTGCATTGAGGTGACTTGACATGATTATAAGGAAGATGAAGAAAGTATTCAATTTAGGATAAAAAAATATATATACCCAAGCATTATCTTCTATTCTGTTACTTAATGTTTCTGCTTGTGATGAATCCTCAGGCGTGTTATAAGTGAACCCTTTGGCCTGTTTGCTCATTTAGTAAGGATATCCTGGTTTGCCTCTGTTGTTTATTGTAAAAAAAAAATAATAATAATAATTAAATGTGGCAAATAAGTGTTTGTTCCCAAGTTTCAGTATTGTTGTATTGCATTGTCCCTCCGACTTTGTTTTTTTCTTGTGTGTACGTCACTGTCCTCTTGTTAGTAAATTTGAATATAGTGGTCCTATGCATACTATTAGGATAACTCGTGCATAACTTGTTACGTGATATACTCCTTGATATTGTGTAATCTACTTATTGTTGCAAATAAATGTTTTGTTCTAGTCTAAACATTTCCTCTGTAGTTTCATTTTAGAGGTGAAAGCTGTGGAATTGTGAGAAACCAGTTATTTTGAGTCAGTATGAAATATTAGATTTTATGTAAAGACCCATAATATTATAAGTAAAAAGCTTCCAATAAAGAAATTTATGTTCA